AAAAAAAAGTAAAGAGAAACATATAAACAGGTTTTCCTGAATTTAACTTTTTCAGTATTGGGGATTGAATCTAGGGCTTTGGGAATGTTAGACACGTGCTCTACTACTAAGCTGCATCCCTAGCCCTTTTATTTTTTTTTTTTTATTTTTGAAACAGAGTCTTTCAGAGTTGCCCAGGTTGGCCTTGAATTCACAATTTTCCTGCCTCAGTCTCTCAACTAGTTGGAATTATAGGCACGTTCCACCATGCCTGGTCCAATATTGTCACTATGTTTTAACCCCATTATATGTAAAATATTGTTATTTTAACTTGTAGCCAATATAAAAAATATTGAGGTATCTCATGTTCTTTTGTTCTTTTTATACCGACACTTTGAAATGGAGTGTGTTTATAGCACATCTCCATCCAAGTGCTAAATTTTCTTTTTTTTTTTGTCTTTTTGAGACAGGGCCTCGCTATGCAGGTCAGGCTGTCCTTGAGCTCACTTTGCAGCCCAGGCTGGCCTCGAACTTGCAGCAATCCTCCTGCCTCAGCCTCCTGAGTGCTGGGATTATAGACATGCACCACCATGCCCAGCTTCAAGTGCTAAATTTTCATCAAAGATACCTAATTCAGATACTGAAAGCTCACAGTTGAAAGAGGGGGTTCATCTACCTGAGTTGTAGCAAACAGACTTAAAAGGTTCCCAGTCACTGCATGGGGGCTTTGTCAACAGCTTTTGCAACGTTACTGACCCTTGGATTCCTGGTACCAAAAAAAAAGGAAACATTACTGACTTACTGACCTACCTCAAAAGTGTACAATTTGGTAAATTTTGACCTGCAGATCCACCCGTGACACCATTTCCACAATGCTGATCAGGTATCTCCAGTACCAGTTTTTATTTTCCAATTTTTTTATCGCTTCATTTGGTGCACATTTGTTGATACTCTGTTGCTTTCGCTCACTCCCTGCGCTACATTTGTATGCCAGGAGCTGGGCTCAGGGCCACCTGGATGAGGCTGTGGTCGTGTGACATTCGAACTGTGATCAGAAGGATTTGTGCAGGGGATGAGGGAGTGGCAGGCACAGGTCTGTGGACGCAGGGATGGTGGGTCATGTCCTTACCCTGGGAGGACCTGTGGATTCAAGACTGCGGGGCAAAAGGGCCGTGAGCAGAGAAGGGGTGCAGGGGAGAGTTTAAGGACCGAGGTGAGCTCAGGATGTTCTGTTATTATCCCAGTAGAGGCACCTTTGTAGGAGCCAGCTTTCAGAGGCATGTTACCAACCCCTGCTGCCTCAGTTTCCCAAATCTGTGAATAATAGCATTTATCTCAGAGTTTCAACTGGATGCGATACACATACATGTCAATTCCGTGTTTCTCCTAAAATGAGACCTAATCGGGAAGAAAAAAATGCCAGCCCCAATCAGCCTATCCTTGCCTTACCTGCCGTTACAGAGTAGCCGCAGGAAGGGAATAGTGAGGTGTAACCTGCTGGATGCTGGCCGTCACCATGGTAATGAGCAGGTAGACCTGGTTCCGGTTAGGTGGGTCCAGTTAGGGCTTATTTTGGGGAATGTGGTTGCTTAGAACAGAACTCAACTCTCACTATGCATTCACTCACCACTCTTATTAAGGAGGGGACCTAAGGGGCTGTTCAGGGAAAGGGAGGCGCCCCCCTGCCCAGATGGCTGAGATCCCTTTCCGTGGCTGCCCGCCGCTTTTGCATCTTGCAGGCCTCCGTCCTTTCCTTGCGCACCTGTTCGCTTGCCTTTGCCTGGCAGGGGCATCCGAGGACCACTCTGTGCCTGACCCGAATTAACCTCGCCCGCTCTCCTCCTGCGCTGTCCCTCCCCAGGGCACGTTCGCCTCCCAGGTGACCCTGGAGGGGGACAAGTTGAAGGTGGAGCGGGAGATTGACGGGGGCCTGGAGACCCTCCGCCTGAAGCTGCCGGCCGTGGTGACCGCAGACCTTAGGCTCAACGAGCCCCGCTACGCCACCTTGCCCAACATCATGGTGAGCACAGTGGGCCTGGGGCTGGGCGGGACACTGCTGCCCGTGCCGAGGCGATGGTCAGATGGCGGGGCGGAAGGGCCAGGCGCATGTCATCACAGGCAGGGGTCACCCGGTCACTTTGGCCAACAGAGGGTGCGTGCGTTGAGAGTCTATGAGATTGTCTTGGTTAGTGGAGGGTCTTAGCTGGTCGTTTGAGCCAATAGAAAACTTAACTGGGCAGCAGAGGGGTTCTGCTTGCCATTCCGGCCAGTGGGCAGGTTCACCGGGCAGTCGTGGCCAGAGAGACGCGTTCGGTGGTCCTGTTTGAAGGAACGGTCCCTTGGTAGTTTTTGCCAGTGGCAAGTTAGGATGAAGGCCATCTTGGCTAACAAGAAAGGGCGCATGGGGTCTCTTGGCCAACAGGAAGAGTACTCTGGGGCATCTTGGACCATATGGAGAGTTTGGTGGGTCATTTCAGCCAATAGAAAACATTGAGTGTATCTTCTCAGCCCAGAGGGAGGGTACAGTGGGTCATCTCAGCCAATGAGGAGCATTCAGTGGGCGGATAACCAATGGGAAGTGTTCTATCCACTGAGTCATGACTGCCTAAAAGATGGGTCTCTTAGTCCTTGAGGGCCAGCACAGGGCTCCCCAAGGGGGTTTGCTGAAGAAAGGCTGCGGGCAGAGTGCAGCCAGCAGGAATTATCTGTACCAAGTGCTGCTCTATGAGAGGGAGCGCATGCCCTGGCCACTCTGGGGGCCAGGGGAGGGTCCTGCACTGCGGCGCCACGGGAAGGAGGTTTTGGGGGGCTGGGCAGGGCTTCAGCAGCCTTGTGAGCCCGGGTCCCCGCACGCAGAAAGCCAAGAAGAAGAAGATCGAGGTGATCAAGGCCGGAGACCTGGGTGTGGACATGCGCTCCAAGCTCACTGTGGTCAGCGTGGAGGACCCACCGCAGCGCACGGCTGGCGTCAAGGTGGAGAACACCGAAGACCTGGTGGCCAAGCTGAAGGAAGTCGGGCGGATTTGAGCCCCCGCTCTGAAACGCAGCAATAAAACTAGGACTCTCTTAACGTCCGTGTGCATTACCACATTCCTTGGAGGTCCCGTCTTTGATTCACTGGGCAGACATTTCCTTAAATGCCCTTGTGCCCGGTCCTGTGCCGGGCGAGCTTGGGGAGCCAGGTGAGTCAGGTCCCTCCGACTGTACTGAGGGCACAGATGCCGGCGAGGACAGACCTGGAGCAGGGTGACGGGGGCTGGGCGCAGAGGCACGTGGGGATGTGGGTGGAGCACCTGGCCTGGCCAGGGTGACCAGCAGGCTCCCTGGGGTGCTGGGTCCTGGGTGCCGGGGCCGTGCTGAGACTTGGGGCCCAAGAAGGAATCCAGCCAGAGGAGCTGGTAACAGACATTCAAAACCTCAGGTCTGGCAAAGATCCCAGCGCTGCAGTTGGATTTACTGGTTACAAATATTCATGCTCACCTTCAGCAGCTGTGAGGTCTGGGGTGAGTTGGGTCCACCGTACTACCCTAGGTTCTGGTCCTGAGGCCCCAGGTTCAAATCTGCTGACCTGGACTAGTGCCGAGCTAGCTATAGGAGGCCCTCAAGCAGCCAAGGGTTGGGGATATAGCTCAGTGCCAATGTCCTGAGTTCAAAAAAAAAAAAAAAAAAAAGATGGACACTATGTACTGGTTGTCTCTTTTTCTTTTTATTTCTTTTTTCTTTCTTTTTTTGAGACAGGTCTTTTGATGTAGTTCTGACTATTCTTGAACTCACTGTATAACCTAGGTTGGCCTTGAACTCACAGCAATCCCCCTGCCTCAGCCTCCTGAGTGCTCTTACAACCCTGGTAACTTTTGCAGCATAAACCACCCCAACATTTGGTGGGTTAACTTTTTGCTTGTAAATCTGAACAAGAGGAGGCACAAACTTGTCCCCCCATGCAGCGTCAGTTGCGGTGACTCGAAGGGGGCCACAGGTTGGACTGCCATGGCCAGAAAGCTGGCGGGGACTCTTCACTCAAACTGCACGGTCTCTGGAGGACTCAGCCAGGCCAGTGGTCAGGGGCCATGATTCTTCGCTCTGGGCTCTCGAGAGGCCCCAGCATGGCAGCTGAGGTCCAGAGGGAGGGCTCTCCGACACAGGAAGTGGAGTAAAGCAGTCCGGAAGCAGGAAGTGGCCCAGGGTCACCTCCACTGACCCTCTTGGGCTAGCAGTCACACAGCCTACTCAGATCAAGGAGAAGGAACACAGACCCTCGCCTTCTTAATGAGAGGAGTGTCCGGCCTTCACTAGGGCCCAGTGCTACCCCAGTGGGTTTTGAGAGATTAATTTATGGAGCATTTCTAGAACCATACCTGATACAAGATATTCGGCTTATATGAGGTGTGGTCAAAAAGCAATGTTCAACAACATTTATTTTATTTATATTTTTTTGTGGTACTGGGAATTGAGCTCAGGACCTTGTGCTTGCCAGGCAGGCGCTTATGCCGCTGAGCTATATCCCTGGCCTGCAACAATATTACAGTAAAAGACATACTGCCGTTAATCTCCCTTGAGACATTCCCTGTGATTTCAAACACATTCATCCCATGATTCTTGCTGCTTTTTGGAGCAGTCCCAGAAGTCCTACTTAGTGTCATTTTCCTCTGCTGTTGTGGCTGCCTGGATGTCCAGCGTCTGTTTGAAAGTTTCACCTTTCACAATTATTTTGATTCTGGCAAAGAGCCAGAAATCGCCTGGTGCCAGGTGGGGGCAGATGAGGACACACCATACCGTTTTTGTGAGCCTGCGTATCTGTTGGATGACAGCAGCAGCACTCACCGTGTTTTTGATCACACCTCATAAAGACACTCAGGAAAGAGCACTTCCAGAAGTGCGCCTGAAAGTGGCAAGCATAATGGCTAAGTGTGTTCGAAGTGAGGGGGAGGATTTTCAGGGGGACTAGTGGCACCGTGACTATTTTTTGTCTTGCTTTTTTTGTTTGTTTGTTTTTCTTCCGGTACCAGGAATCGAACTCATGACCTTTGGCTTGCCAGGCAGGCGCTGTGCCGCTGAGCTAAATCCCCAGCTCCCACCATGACTATTATAGTACACATTTATCATATATTTCCAACACCTCCTCTTATCAGCATGGTCAGCATCAGCATGGTAAGGGCTATGTGTGGCTCAGAGCTGAACAGAGGCCCTGCGCCCAACACATGTGGTAGGAAAGATCGGAAGGAAAGAGCTTTCTGATCGGCCTGGGCCTCGACCAGCCTCTCCCTCTGGCTGTGCAACATCCTGCAGGTCCCTTGACCTCTCTGAGCCATAGTCGCTGGTCTATAAAGTGAGGACAGGCACCCAGCTCAGAGGGCATTTGAAAGGGTTCAGCCCCGTAAAGCACGGGAAGAATTTAGCGTGGTTCCTGGAACAACGTAAGCAGTAATTATTGTTATTGTTCTTAATAAGGTGAGACCTGAAGGACCAGTTATGAGTGTGTGTGTGTGTGGGGGGTGTGGGTGAGAGGGAACAGGCCAGGAGAGGAAACAGCAGGAGGGCAGGGAGCTGAGAGCCGGCCCAGGAATTAGCACCTTAGGGGAGGTGCTGGAGCCAGGAGGAGTGGCGGGGTCCACTGAGGAGGTGGAACACCTCCAGGGGGCACTGCAGAGGGAAGGGTCAGCTCTGATGTGGAAGGAGCTTCAGGTGGACTAGCGGGACTTTTGGAACCTGGGCAGTGGGAACCAAGGCTGGGGAGGGCAGGGAGGAGGGAGGGAGGCGCCCAGCACCTGTGGGCTGACTGAGCGAGCTGCAGAGGGAGGAGCAGGCGGAGGGCTGGGATGCAGGGGGATGCGGAGCTTGTGAGGGTCTGAAGTCGCAGAAACGCAGCTCTGGGGGCCAGGAGAGATGGCTGTGTGGAAGCCAGCAACTCGAGACTGGGTCTGGGGACAGTAGGGAGCCATGGGAGGTTGGGAGCAGAGGAGCAGCGGGGTCGGACACAGACATCTGAGGCTGCAGGCAGACAGGGCAGACTGGAGACACAGGCCAGGGAGGAGGAAGCCATCAGCGGTGCAGCTTCCCAAAAGTTGCTCCCATCCTCCTAGCTCTTGTCCAAGATTGGCTACCGCATTTCCAGCTGGGACTCAACTCTCCCCATCTTCCCCTGGGGGTGGGGAGTGCAGATCCGGCTGGGCCTCCCACAGACAGGGCCAGCTGGGGAAGATGAGAAGGGTGGGGTGGGCGGCTCAGCCACCAGGTGGGGTTGGGGGACCCCAGCACCTCCCCTGGATCTGGCTGCCTTCCCCGCCCAGGAAGCTAAGCCACCAGTCCTGTTGGACTTGTCCTGCCCGGAGGGATAGGTGCAGGTCCCGGCTCTCTCCAGTGCCCTCTCGGGTGCGGCCAGCACCATGGACACCCTGTGGGCTCTGCCGCTCTTCCTGCTCCTGGGTAAGTTCTCTGCTCAACCCCCTCCCCCCATCCCCCTTCCCAGCAGCTCGCCAATGCCTTCCCTCCCCTCCCCTCCCCTCCTCTCCTGTCTTCTGAGTAGGGGTCCTTGCCACTCCTGGACTTCAGCAAACCACTTTCACCTCTGCCTCCTCCTCGCGCTCCATCAGCTCCTCCTCCATGGGCCGGACTTCAGAAGTCCCCCCCATCAATGCCCCCGGCCATCAGACCCCAGGGCCGCCGGCCTCTGCTGAAATCCCTGATTCTGACTGGTTTCCTGAGGCCCTGATTTCGAAGGATGTGCCTGGGTCCCTCTGGCCAAACGTTTCTGCTGACGGCCAGCATTTGAGCTCAGAGCTCACATTCTCCGAAATTCCTGATTCTGAAGCATTTTCTGACATCTTGGATCCTCAAGTTCCCGGGAAAGGCCCTGCACCTTCCACCTCGGTTAAAATACCAGCTTCAAACACCTCTGCTCAAATCCTGGACACCAAAGTATCTGCTGAGGACCCAGAGTCAAAGCTCCCCCCTGAAGATCTGGACCTTAAACACTCTTCAAGGGATCCAGAAGTTTCTTTGGAGACCTACCCAGCCGCAAGCTTCCCCCAGCAGGTGGGGGGTCCCCTTGCTGTGCTGGTGGGGACCACCATCCGGCTGCCCCTAGATCCAGTGCCCAGCCGCGGGCCCCCTGCCCCTCTGGTGGTCTGGCGCCGAGGGTCCAAGGTGCTGGCAGCTGGCGGCCTGGGGCCAGGGGCTCCCCTGATCAGCCTGGACCCTGCTCACCGAGACCGCCTGCGCTTCGACCAGGCCCAAGGGGGTCTGGAACTTGCCTCTGCCCAGCTGGATGACGCGGGAGTCTACACGGTTGAGGTCATCCGGGGCGGTCTCTCTCGTCAAACTCAGGAGTTCATGGTGGGCGTGTACGGTAAGTGGACCACAGCACCGGCTGCTTCCAGACCTTGGGCAGGTCTCTAAACTGTCTCATAGACGCTTTCTCCCAACAGGAAGGGGTTCCGGGATGGGAGGGGACGGAGGGGATGGGAGGGGGACGGGAGGAGAGGACTGGGAACGCTGGAGGTGGGAAGAACTCTAGCAGAGGGACCTGACCCCGTGGGTTGGAGGGAGAAGGCTGAGGGCCATCCGGACCCCTGAGTGTGAGGGTGAAGGCTGGAAGTGGACTCCTGGGTCTGAGAAGGGAGGGCTGGAACTGGACCCCCACGTCACGAGGAGAGAGCTCTGATAGCACAGACTCAGCGGCACCGAGCGATGGGCCCAAACTTCGGGGGTGAAGAGGAGGCAGCGGCAGGGTCCCAAAGTCCCTGGTGTAGAGGAGAGGGGACTAGGGGCCGGCTCCCGATCCCATTCTCCGCTCCAGAGCCCCTACCCCAGCTGTCGGTGCAGCCCCAGGCCCCGGAGACAGAGGAGGGGGCGGCCGAGCTCCGGCTGCGCTGCCTGGGGTGGAGGCCCGGCCGCGGGGAGCTGAGCTGGAGCCGGGATGGCCGCGCCCTGGAGGCCGTGGACTCGGAGGGAGTAGTGTCGCCCCGGATCCGCGCCGAGGGGGACCAGCTGCGCCTGGTGCGCCCCGCGCGCAGCGACCACGCGCGGTACACGTGCCGCGTGCGCAGCCCCTTCGGCCAGGCAGAGGCCGCGGCGGACGTCAGCGTCTTCTGTGAGTGCGGGGGGCGCCTGCAGGCGGGGCGGGGCTCTCGGGTGGCTGGAGGGACCCCGGTGGCTGGAGGTGACCCCGGCCCCTCGCCCCGCAGACGGCCCCGACCCTCCGATCATCACGGTCTCCTCGGATCGCGACGCCGCCCCTGCGCAATATGTCACCGCGGGCAGCAACGTGACCTTGCGCTGCACCGCCGCCTCG